CCCGCATCTCAGCTTCTCTGTGTGTGTTGTGTGTGTAAATGAATTGATATGGAATGAATTTGGTTAATATATATCCAATGCACCGCCTGGTATTTTTTGCTTTTAATTTCATTTTTCTTTTGGTGCCTAGCATGGCATTTTTGACTTTAGTTTTAGGTTTGACATTTTGCAAATAATTAAGGTATTACAATTTGTACTCTTTAAAATATTGTAAAAGAATTTGAAATTCCATTATATTGAATTATCTCTATCAATTATTAGGTAACTATAACTCAGGTTATTCAACCAAAAAGCAACGGTAAAACAAGAGTAATTATTTCATAAACAAGAACTTGTTAATTCTGATATAAAATTTGAATAAAGGACTATTACTGTAGTACCAAAAACAAATCTAAACCCATCTGGTTCAAAAATTTCCTATGACACACAAACACCATGTCCAAAAAGTACCATGACATTTCACACACAGACATTTCACACACAAACACCATGTCCTGCTCTCGGAGATGATGTGTGGGCAACAACTTTGCCACCGCCTCTTCACCACCACTACTATCACTACTATCAACGTTGTTACCACTTTCACCATCACCAAAGGTGACTTTTTTGCCGCTTTCTCACCTTGAAAACCAATTGGAATTGGGAATTTTGCCGCTTTCTTGACATTGAATCCAATAACCTTCCTCCAACTTGTTTGCTTTAAGTAGTTTACTCCATTCCTTTTAAAGAACAACAATTTTCAAGGTACCCCACCATTCCATGTGCAATATATAGTAGCTACCTTTTGGATCAATTGTAAAAACCTCGACACGTTTGAAATTCCTCAACAGAGGAGAGTGATTTAAAGGCTTTTTTGAATAAAATTTTGAGGTGGACCAATGATGAGGTTTCTACGGAGGTGCAAATATATATAGATGAGATGTGATGCACCTAGTGATACCAACATATACAATCAATCTTCGACTTTTTTTCTTTATGTTTGTAATGAAATAATTTTGCTAAATAAAATGGCTTAGCATATAAATCTTCCAACTCATCATCAAATCACAAACAGAAAAATATATAAACTCTTTAGAATATTTCTAGTGATTATTGTTGATTATTTTATTTTATTTATGTTTTTAATTACTTAGAGTCTGTTTTAGTTTGTTATTCAAGTGTATGTCTTTTACCTAGTCATTAGGATTTAGCTGTTGCAGATTGGTTAGTGGTCCCATCTCAAGCTATTATTTTGCTAAGTCTGTTGGTTGTATAGCCTATATATATAGGCTGATTTGTTGATGAATAAAGACACGGCAGTCAAAATTTCAATTCCATATTATGCCTTTAAGCTTTATGCTTGTGATTGTAACAGTGGTATCAGAGTTGGTTAGTGTGTGATAAAGTGAGTTGCAAGGGTTCACAAAAGAGAGGTTGACAGAGTCATAAATAGAGAGTCTTTGTCAGAAATGATTGTGAGTGAGCAGCAGCTATTTTTTTTTTCATTTGTTCTTCTTTTTTTTTTAATTTTTTTTATTGATTGCAGTAGCAGTAGAGAACAATGACAAAAACTTCGTGCAACCTGCAAATCCACGTTTTGATGGTCATTATGATCATTGGAGCATGCTAATGGATAATTTCTTCTGGTCTAAAGAGTATTGGCAGATTGTTGAAGTTGGAGTAGCAGAACCAGTAGCAGGCACGGTGTTATTAGACCATCAACGAACTGAACTTGAAGGACAATCGTTAAAGGATCTTAAAGCAAAGAACTATCTCTTCCAAGCAATTGATCACTCCAACTTTGGAAACTATTCTTTGCAGGGACAGGGGCGGACCCAGAGACTTCGAACTGTGGGGTCAAAAATGAAATTTTTTTCGAACAACATATCATTAATAAAAATAAATTCATATGCTACTACAATTGTAGCCTACGCGTTTTCATACTTTGAAAACGTCGTATAATTACATCGTTATCAATATTGTCAAGTACATCGCTTTCAATATATGCAACCAAACTATCACTTAACCATTGATCTCCCATTCGATTACGTAGTCGATTCTTGACAATCTTCATTGCAGAAAATACTCTTTCTACCGTAGCAGTTGCAACTGGAAGAATTAACGCCAATGTTACAAGCCTGTAAACTAATGGGTACACCTCATGTTTTTTCGTCACAACCAAGGTTTCTGCAAGATCATTAAGGCCTTGTAACCCTTCAAAATCTTTGTGAGAGCGCATATCAATAATATACGTCTGAATTTGCTCTTCAAATGCCAAGATCTCTATTGGTTTAAAATCTTTGGGATAATACTCACACAATTGAATTAACTTATCCTTGTTGAAAGCAGAGAATGAATTATCCGGACACAAGCATGCAACACAAAGGAGTAAGTCACTATTTACCTCAGAGAAACGATCATTCAACTCTTGAATTTGCATATCAATGATAGCATAGAAGAAATCCACACGAAAATGATGAAGATTTGTAATTTCTTGAGTGTTACGCCGTGAACGGCCTACAGGTATAAACATATCGTCCATATTGGGAACATCAATATTGTATCTTTCGCAGAAGCAGGAAACTG